TAAATGGGGCTTTTGGTCGTACCCGATTTAGTTGTCGTAAACCGATGCGACCAAAACTAAAAATTTTCCAATCAATAATTTGGGGTGTTTTCATGTGTTTCTAATGGGTTTAGACACTCATGAGGTCATTAGAAAAGTCTTAAATTAAATGATCTAATAAAAAATGTTAGCAGAAAAATTGAAAGATAGACGGGTTTCGCTCACAGGAACGGGTTATCATGACGGAAAATTTTTTCGGGTTGTCACATTATCCGCCGTTAGAGGGAATTTCATCCCGAAATTTAGATTTAAGGCACAATCATGGGTTTGGAAAGAGATATGGTTATTTCCGTTTTGTTGAGTCTTCGTGCTCCCAAGTGAATTCGGGTTCTCGCATGGTATACCGACGAACCTTCACTTATCAGGATATGGCTTCGTTTCGTACCTTTTAATCTTTCGATCTATGATTTCGATTGGTTCTTCGATGAGGCTCAGAATTTCATTGATCTCGGTCTCATCAAAGGGATTACTAGGGTTTCATCTGATAGGCACTTCTCAAGAATAGAGACGTGGAAGACAGGATGAATGTTGCTAAGTTCTGAAGGTAGTCAGACTTTGAACATTACGGGATCGATCCCAACGAGGATTTCAAAAGGTCCTATGTACCTCAGGTTAAGTTTTCCACACTTTCCAAAGTGCATCGAGCCTTTTTGGGGTAAGGCCTTCAACAGGACACAATTTCCATCAAAAGGGGACACCTTTCTGTGTCTAAGTGGTTAGGGGTTAGACGATTCTGGATGAATTCTCGATGAACCTACGATAGTAGCCAGCGAGACCCAAGAATTTACAGGTTTTTGTGGGTATCTGCGGTGCCGACTAATTTTCTATCGTTTGGATTTTGGACGGGTCCATGTGTATGTCTTCCTCACTTACAACATGACCAAGGAAAGTGGCTAGACCCAAGGGCATCACTACAATCTTGTAGTGACCATATCGAGTTCTGAATGCTGTCTTGGAAGCATCATTCTGATGAACTCAAAGCTAACGGTACCCTAATCTAAGGTCTATCTTCGAGAAGTAACTAACTCTATGAAGTTGATCGAAAGGTCATATATTCAAGGAAGAGGATATCGGTTTTTGACAGTTTATTTGTTCAATTCGCGGTAGTCGATACACATCCGGTAGGATTTATCCTTCTTCTTCACAATTAAAACCGGGGCTCCAGAGGGTGAGGAACTCGGTCTTATGCATCCCTTGTCAAGCATATCTTTGAGCTGAGTGGATAACTCCTGCATTTCTGCTGGAGCTAAACGACACGGAGACTTGGCTACAAGATTAGTTCCAAAACTTTGGTCGATGCGAAACTCAACTTGACGTTCGGGAGAAATTCCCAGGAGCTCTTCGGAAAAGACATCATGAAAATTGCAAACATTGGGGATGCTCTCAAGGTCTTTAATTTCCTGTTTCTTGTTGATTACATAGGTTAGGAATTTATGGCACTCCTTTCAAGGAGGCTTTTGAGCTTTGATGCACAAAATGATGCGAATGCTGAAACTAAGTTTATCGTCGTAGATTATGAGAGTTTGACCAGGAGGAAGGTTGAGATGGATAGATTTGTCATATCAAAGGATATCAGCATGATTGGGATTCAACCAATCCATTCCAATGATAACATTAAAGCTCTCTATGGAAACTGGCATTAGGTCAATAAGAAAAGAATATTCGTTCAGGGTAAGGGTGCATCCTATGAATATGCCGTTAGCGTTCTCTTTCTCACCGTTAGTTGTCTAGATGGTAAATGTTTCGGTTACTAGTTGAGGACTATGTTTAAGAAGATGTTTGAATGAACATCTAACAGATTTTCTTTCAGTACTAGAATTGAAAAGGATTGCAAGCATAAGAGTTGTCGAGAAGGAAAATACATGTGGCAACAGTGGGATCGGCGGCTGCCTCATCTTGTCCCATAGCTAGGACTCTCCCGGTGTTGCTAGTTGCTACTGCCTTGGGGCAGTTTCTCTTGTAATGTCCAACATCGCCGCAACCATAGCAGGCCTAATTGATGCCCGCTCCGGAATCTTGATTGGTTGATTGGGTTGGTGTTCCGCAGCTTCACGCAAGGTGACCCTCCTGGCCACAGTTTTTACAAAACTTCTCACGACAAGGACCGGGGATGCGATTGTGGTAACTACACCTATTGCACCACGGAAAAATACCAGCATATCCAGTGGTAGGTGCTTCAGCCGAGGAACCGACGATAGAAACCGCAGCAGAGGTAGTAGCAGCGTGGACTACCACTGTTTGCTGCTTCTTCGAGGACTCCTGTGAATACTGACACTTCTTCTTCTTCAATGAATTTCTTATCTCACCACTTCTCTCTATTGGCTCAGGAGTGGTGGCTGCTTCCTCTAGGTCACCACTATGGTCAATCAACGTTTGCACTAGGCATATGGCGCTGTCGTATGTGTCTGGTTTCGCAGCTAATACATTACCCTTGGTTGGCTGGGTCAACCCCTATATGAACCATTCAATCTTTTTGCTTTCCGGGGTAACCATTCCTGGATAAAGAAGCGCCAAGTCGTCAAACCTCAAAGTGTGAGCGGCGATATCGGAACCTTTCATCTTCAGGTTCCAGAGTTCATACTCCAGCTTCTACATTTCGCCCTAAGGGCAGTACTCCGGAAGTAGAAACTCCTTCATGAATTCCCACCCATAGAATTGGCTACCAGGTAGGGTTAAGGATTTGACTCGGTCGTTCCACCAAGTCAGAGCTTTATTGGTGAATGTGCAGGTGGCGAATTTCACCTTGTCAGATTCTGAACAGGCACAGATTTTGAAGATAGATTCGATTTTCTCTAACCACTGAGTTAGGGCAATGACACCTCCTGTGCCATCGAAGGATGTAGGTTTTGCGTTCATAAAGTCCTTGTAGGAACACTCCTTTCGGTGTCCCTAGCTAATTTCTTGGTTTTGGGGCTAAGTACCACCTCCTGACCCGCCTGAACCAACGAGGTTCATTTGCGATATGGTAGTAGCCACAATAGCATTGACAAATGCTTGAAACATGGCGGGATCAAATGGAGAGGGAGGTGGTGGCGGAGGAGGATTGTAGTTCTTTGAGATGGGTCTTTTCCTTAGAGGCATCTTGATCTATAGTAGTCAGGAAAGAGAGGATCATAAGTCCTCTAATTTGAATCAAGAGATATGGAACAAGATATATCTCTTTATGACAGATATAAAGTTCTAATAAGCGATAAAACAGGAAAGAGCTATCAAAGCAGGTAAACTATTACTAAGGAAGAAAAGAGTAGCAACACTCAGAATAAGTTTTAGACATCCTGCACACCACAGTCACTCCCAAGCACATGTTGGTCGTGTCTCAAATGAATATAGTTGATCATGCTATATTGACCCTAGACACGACTACATAACTGCCCAGGTTTAACCGCAACATACAACACCCAATTACTTATGTTCTGTTCTACTCGAGGTAATGGTTTCCGGCGGCTAGGTATACTTGTATACTTTTGAAAATACTTATATTTGAAAGTATACTTTTAGTTCAGAGCAGTTCGACCCCTTAGTGTTTATAGTCTTATACCATGTAAGGTTTGCTACACTAGTTCACTATAAACAAGGGCTCTGATACCAATCTCTCACACCCCGAAACCGATGGCGGAAACATTCCGGGACGGAGGACGTCAAGTAATATCGCAACCAATGTACATAGTAATCATAGAAAAACAAACATTACATTACATAGAAATATTTATATTGTCTAAAAACAAAGTGTTACAAGTGTTATACATATATATCATATGAACAAAAGTTAAGACGAGTCTTCTATACACTCCGTCTTCTCCAAAAGATCGCTGTGTACCTGTCTAATGTGGACCTGAGAATACAAGCAGTTTGAAAATCAGAATAAAGCTCGTGAGTTCATAAGCGGTTTATTTTCATAAAAGAACAAGTTTCCTTTGGTTTTTCTGAAAAAGGCCTTTTACGACGCGCAAAATACGATGCTCATTGATCTATGTTACGCAAAGGAGAGTGACATTAGAAAAATGTCATCTCTTCAAAAAATTTAAGGATAGAAGACACACATTATTGCGCGCCCTTAAATTAGTGTCTAAAAAAAACACGGAGGGCACCTATAATAAAATGCGCGTCGTCTAAGGATGTCGCTTTATAATTTTTAATGGAACGCGCGTTCCATCCTTTAACAGTAGGGGGAAATGAAATTCTGAAAAAATTAAAAATCCCGCCTTCCTATTTTTTCTCCTTTCCCTCTTGCCCAAATTATGGACGCCCCTTCCTTCCCCCTCCCGACATTGACTACTGCCTACTTCTTCCCTCACTTCTACCTACTGGAACCACCATATCTCCCACTCGATGTTGAAATTGTTAGAAAAAGCCCTAATTATACTCTCAAGTCTAAATACAGAAAAAATAGAAGATGGTGAAGAAGTAGCAGTAGAGGAAGTGGAGGATGAACAGTCGAAAATGGAAGGAATGGCATCAATAGCGTTGTTACTAGATGGGTCAATCTCGGGTCATTTTGTTCATCTTCCCGAGTCCGTTTATTACCAGATGGGTCAATCTCGTCTTTTTGTCTCGACTTCATATCTCTCTGTAAAGCAGCCGATGACCCCCACACCACCATCTGCAAACCCTAAGCCGTCGTCTAAGGATATCCGCTCTTCCTCCTTCCCATTTGACTAATTCTTCGTCAGCTCTTGTTGAATTTCTCACACAATCATTGCTTTTGTTTGATTTCGTTTGATTTTGTCAAATTGCAGGGTTTTTCTGAATCCGTCAACTCCTTCTTTAATCGGCTGATTTTCATCTTGTTTTAACGATTCGTTTACAAAAAGTTTTGTTCTTTTTTTTTGTTAATTTATCTTTAACAAAAAAATGAATCAAAATCAAACTCATTGACTTTTAAATTTGTCTACAAATCGTAGCTTTCGTGACCGGTTTTATTGGTGAGATCGAAGGATTTGTAACTTAGGGTTTTAGTGAAGATGTTGGGCGCTGGATTGCAGCATGGACATAGTAGTGGTGGAGAGGATAGGTTTTACATGCCGGCGAAAGCGAGAAGGATTCGTCAGCATCAAGAGAACCTCCATAGAGCTCAAAGTAACGTTACTCCGACCCAATCTACGACATCTTCTATCAGGGAGGAGCCGGAGAATCAACTCATGCAGCCACATCAAATCCGGAGCCGTTGGAATCCTCAGTGGTGGCGGTGCCGACAACATCATCGTTGTGTAATCTTGAATGGTTTTTGGAAACTGTTACGCCTTCTGTTCCTGTTCAACATCTCTCCAAGGTCTGTACCGATATTAATCTTTTATATTGAAATGAGTTGAATTAATTCAAATTAGTCGTCTCAGTTTATACTTGTATTGCTAATTCGTTATATCATGGAGTAAAGTAACTTATAGGAACATTTGTTTATTCAATTTGAGTATGCGACAGTCAATTAATCAGATTTTTGATTTATAATTTAGTAGTATAATTTACTTTACATTTTAGCTGTGGTTTTCTCTTTCTCCATTGGCACTACTCCGAAATTCATGTTTGAAAGCAAATGAAGTCAGCTTGAATTATTATTCAGTGAGCCCTGAGGGTGGCCTTTCAGTTTTTATGAGTGAACAGAGTTTGCCTTTGATGTTATATTTCTATTGTTTAATCAAGGATTCCATATTTTGACAATCAAAATATATGTGTTTCTGCTAAAGCACACCATCTTCCAAAAAGAATTAGAGTATAATAAAATGGTTAATGTTCAGTAATCATGTATAAACAGGGGTATTGTAGTTGTGGGAATCTTTCAAGGAGTGGAGTGCTTATGGTGCTGGAGTTCCTTTAATATTGAATGAAGCTAATTGTGTGATCCAATATTATGTGCCTTATTTATCTGGAATTCAAATATATGTAGACCCTTTGAAGTCTTCAATAAATTCCAGGTACTGGAACAGTAAATATCTTCCTTTCTTCCTCTTTCTTGTTTAGGGTTATGACAGGCTCCTTTTCAACTAGTAGCATCTATTATGCTTCTTTATGAAATTTAAATAATGTAGTTATTCTGTTGCTTTACAGGCAACTAACTGAGGATATTGATGATAACTCATTTACGGATTCAAGTAGTGATGGGAGCAGTGATTATGAACAGGAAAAGGGTTCTTTACATTATCTAAGGGAGAAGAGTAATAATCATCACCCAAAGAATGACATTCTTCACCGAATAGATCATTTGTCAATGAATGATGAGAACAATGTAGTTCAAGAAGACTTTTCTAGTGATGATAGTGATTCTGCCACCACTCAAAGTTGCTTGATATTTGAGTACATGGAACATAGTCAGCCTTTGGGCAGAGAACCTTTGTGTGATAAGGTTAGCTTTAAAAAAAACAAAGAAAGTGGGTTTTATTCTTTATTTATAAATCTTTGGATAACTAGTTTAGTTCTGTTTTCTGGTTGCAACAGATACTTGATCTTGCACAACGTTTCCCTGAATTGAAAAGTCTAAGAAGTTGTGACTTGCTGCCATCTAGTTGGCTTTCTGTCGCTTGGTATGATTGCTAATAAGTTTGGGAAGGAATGGAATGATTCATTCCATTGCTACAGACCAACCAAATATGATCACAACTCATTCCATTCCTTTGTGATTCCATTCCATTCCATCCAATCAAACAGATTCTTAATATGGTCTTTGCTACTTGCTCTTTCTCACATAATATGCTACTACTAAATGACCCTTTTTTGATGCTTTTTATCAGGTACCCAATATACAGAATTCCCATGGGGCCCACCTTGAAAGTGTTGGATAAGGTGTCTAAGTCCATAACTTATTTGGTATATACTTGACCCGACCGGCATGGTCCATTTAGGTTGCATCTCATCCAAACTATTATGGATAATTTTATGAGAGTTATACACATATGTTTATTAATATATTATGAGTTATAATATATTAATACGAAGTTACGTTATTTAATTAGTTTTAGTCTTAAATTAATTATGAATTAATTTAGAGATTAAAAGGAAGACTAATTAAATTATGGGCTATTTGTTTTATATAGTGTGGGCTAATACTCATTTGTTAATGGTCTAGGCTTATGTGGAAGTCCATGGATGATCCATGGAGCTTTTAACCCATGGATCCTTGGAAAAGGAAAAGACATGGGTTATTAGGGTTTCACCCTAACCATGCACACTATATAAGCATGCTTATGGAGCATGAAATGGAGCCTAAGAGAAAACTAGTGAACTAGTGTGTGTGTGTGTGTGTGTGCATGTGTGTGGCCGATTTTATACAAGGTGTATACTCTCTCAAAGTTTTCCAAGAGTTTGTGGTGTTTGTGATTCCATTTGAGGCATTCACACTATTGGTGCTTGGCCCTCAAACTCCTTAGAACCAAACTCACCAAAAGGTATGTAATCTCTTCTAACTCTTTTATGTTGAAATGTTCCCCATGCCATGTTAGATAGGTTATAAACCTTGGAAAATTATTATTTTGCATGTATTTAGACAAACATAGATCCAAGGTTTATTAGGGTTGCATGCACACTTAGGAAGTGTTAGATTGCTCAAAACCTGACAGTGGTATCAGAGCCTAGGCTTGCTTGTTTGATACTTGATGCAAAATAGTGAAAAAAGTCAAAATCGTTGCTGTCAGCATGGTGGACTCGCCGAGTCCATTGGGGGGACTCGACGAGTCCAAGGCAAACTTCAACCTACTCGACGAGTAAGTTCATGCACTCGACGAGTAGGATCGAAAGAATGCAGAATCTCGACTTTTGCTGCTGGAAATGGACTAGAAACATTACCCTAAATTGTTTTGGTGTTATAAAACTTATTTTAGTTGGTGTAATGGTTGTTCTAATCCATTTACAATAGCATATATCAAAATTCCATGATTTTATGTGTTCATATAATTCTTGAATTTTGATGATCATGTTCATGTTCTTATGAATTTAGAAAATGATAGGAATTATTTGCTGAATTGTTTAGGATTAATTCTTGATCATTTATGTGTTTTAATGGAGTCCATAATTTGTCCTCAAGTTATGGATTACCAAAGGTCACTTTCATTAACACACACTTAAAACACATAAGTTACATGAAAATGAAGAGTCTTCATTTTTATGAACTTTTAATTCATAAGTTATGAAATGAAGAGTTTTGCAAAGTTACAAAACTTGCCCTCAAGTTTTGGAATTTGTAAAGTTTCACACACTTTAATAAACTTTAATTCCAAACCTTAGAGTTTTAATAGTTAAAATTCAACCCTTATACTATTTATAACATTAATGGTTAATTATTATATATATGTATAAGAATAAGTCGTTTTACCGTTAGTAGGCCTCATTCACGAAGCCGGTCTATAAGGTGGGTATAAGGTTGTTGCCTATAAAATGGCGACTTAATGGGTGTATACTCTCACCCACCGCTTGCTTGATCGGTGGAGGGTCGTTAGCCGAACGGGTAGAACAATGACTTTAAATCCTCATTAAAAGTATAATGAATATTATAAAATAACTAAACTCTTTTAATTCCCAATCTTAGTTATTTTAGGAAAATGTGAACATGGTGCTAATCCATGGAATTCACACTTTGTACCTTACCAAGTCGTTGGTGAAGCGTGTGTGGTTAACCGGCACACTAACTAGGACTAGTAAGGATCACGAAGGGTAACTTAATGTTTGTCATAGATCAATGGAGCGTGTGTGGTTAACCGGCACATTGATTAGGTGATAATATTAAGAGTACCAAGTGAATTAGCATGGTTATTCACACCTTGTTTTGTGATCCTCGGCATCCCAGTCACAAAACTTGAAGGGCACAATCGAGATTGAAACATGCCATTGAAAAGTTCAATGAATCTCAAAAGAATCTAGGAATTTCAAATCCAATTAAACCTAATAAATCATTTCGTTTTCATGGTGGAAATTGGTGAATCGTCATTCACCTACCTTTCAAATATATTATTACTTAGATTACGGCATCCCTCTTCTAAGTGTAATATATTGTGATTGGATCCCAGCCTTAATATTACATTTGGGTGTCTTATTAAGGATCCTAAATATCTAATCTAAACTTACTCTCTTCTTTCAAATGTCTTCCAACACTAATGCTTCAGGCTCTAACCCAACTAGTTCTTTCTCTCTCATGAATCTTTGTGGGAGGGTCATCTTTGATGGTTCCAACTTCATGGATTGGATTAGGAACATCAGGATGGTTACTCGTTACGAGGACAAGGAATATGTCCTCGATAAGGAGTTAAAAGAACTTGATGAGTCTACTGCTACTCCTGAGGAGATCGTTGAATTCAGGACTCATGAGAGAGATGCTACTAAGGTGGCATGTATCATGATGGCCACGATGACAGCCGAGCTCCAAAGTCGTATGAAGATTTCTACCTTTTTGAGATGCACCAAGACCTGATGGAAAGGTACCATCAGAGTGCTCGTCAGGAGCGGTATGAATTAATCTCCTCCATAATAACTACCCGCATGAAGGATGGTGAATCCGTCACGGGCCACATGCAAAAGATGCAAAGGTATGTGGACCGTTTGCTGAAGCTGAATGTTAACATCCCCGAGGAGTTGGCAATTGACATCATTTTGCACTCCTTGCCTTCTTGTTATGATCATTTTCGAATGACATATCGTATGAACAAGGAGGAAGTTACCCTCAGCAAGCTTCAAGGACTCTTGAAGACCGCTGAAACCGGTCTTAAGGGTAAAGCGGTTGTTACCTCTACTACTCCTACTCCAACTTCTACCCCTGTTTTAGCTATTGGGCAAGGCAAAGGGAAAAAGAGGAAGCACCCTTCGAAGGGTACCAAGGGAAAGTCTCTTGAAGGCTCCTCATCAAAGACCAAGAGCAGTTCTGCCACTCCTTCTGCCATTCCCAAGGATGCTGAATGCTTTTATTGCCATGAAAAGGCACACTGGAAGCGAAACTGCCCTAAGTACTTGCAGGATCTAAAGGATGGGAAAGTGAAACCCACCTATGCAGGTATTTACACTATATTGTCTAATTACTCAACATACTCTAACTCTTGGGTGCTTGATACAGGATGTGGTATTCACATATGTTCTGATTTGCAGGGCCTAAGAAGAAGTGAGGATGTGGAGCACGGGAAGATAAACTTAATCATGGGGAATAGGAAGGCTTCACCTGTTTCCAAGATTGGAGTTTATACTTTGTTGCTTAATAATGGGTTAAAATTAGATTTGAATAAATGTGTGTACTCGTCTGAAATGGCGAGGAATATTATTTCTTTTCATGCTTTGTACAAACAAGGTTTTACCTTTTCGTTTGATAATGAATGTGGTGGTATTAATGCTTTCTTTAATAATGTGTTTTATTTTAAAGCATTACCTTGTGATGGTGTGTATGAAACTGTGTCGATTGTAGACAACTTAGGAAATAATGTGTTGTATATTGATTCTTCTACTAGCCTAGATAAAGCATCATTGTGGCATTGTCGTCTTGGACATGTAAACAAGAAACGCATAGGCCAACTCCAAAAGAGTGGAGTCTTGGAATCATTTGACCTTAAATCAGATGATAGTTGTGAATCTTGTCTACTTGGAAAAATGACAAAATCACCCTTCACTGGAACTTGTGAGAGGGGTGAAGGTTTGTTGGACCTAATACATACTGATGTATGTGGGCCATTCAAAACCGCCACAAGGGATGCTAATCGGTATTATGTGACTTTTATTGATGATTTTAGTAGATATGGGTATGTCTACTTAATCAAACATAAGTCGAAACCTTTGAAAGGTTTAAGGAATTCAAGCAGGAAGTAGAAAATCAATTGGGCAGGAACATTAAGATGCTTCGATCCGATCGAGGTGGTGAGTATCTTAGTACCGAGTTCCTTGACTATCTTAAGGAGTGTGGGATTGTCTCACAATTGACTCCTCCCAGGACACCACAGCTGAATGGTGTAGCTGAGAGGCGTAATCGAACTTTGTTGGACATGGTTCGCTCTATGATGAGTCGAGTTTCGTTACCAATCTCTTTTTGGGGGTATGCCTTAGAGACTGCCGCCCATATCCTTAATCTAGTCCCTACAAAGAAGGTTACCAAAACACCTCATGAGATGTGGACTGGGAAGGTTCCCAATTTGGACCACATCAAAATTTGGGGTTGCGAAGCCTTCGTGAGGCGTGAAACTCATGATAAGCTTGAACCCCGAAGTGAAAGGTGTATTTTCATCGGCTACCCACAGAAATCCTTCGGTTACCTCTTCTACAGACCCAGTGAGAATGTGGTCTTTGTAGCACGAAGAGGGATCTTTCGCGAGAAAGAATTTATAAGCCAAGGAGACAGTGGGAGGCAGATTGATCTTGAAGAAATTCAAGAATCAATTGGTGAAGGAACCTCAGACACTAGCAATCAACCTGAGGAGGAAACTCCTGTTGATCCAGCTGACGAGTCTGTACCTCCGAGGCGTTCCACACGGGTTAGGAACACACCTTCGTTTTATTATGGTTTTCATATTACTACGGAAGGTGATACGTTTATTAGTGATAGTACACTAGTAAATTTGGATGAACCTAGCAGT